GTCTGCAAGGTCATATTTACGTGTGAGGAGAGTAGAACAGAGCTAATGTTGCACACAGCTGTTGGCACTGGATGCCTGGTGAATGTCTTATGCAAATGGGTAATGTAAGGAGCAGTATTTGGAGTGTACAGGACTTGTATTTGGAGTGTATTTGTGTATAACATATTATTGATGCCTGTGTGTCATACTCTGCTACTCCAAGTCTAGTACGCAATTGCATAACATATCTGAGTCCAACACTGAGGGAAGCAGTCTGGGTGGAGGTACAGCGGGGCATGTTCAGCATTTAGGAGACACTTGAAACTAGTAAAGGCTGAAACACCCCTAGAGAAGAGGGTTAGGGGAACTGCCCATGTTGAGGGAGGGAGAGGCAGTTACAGATTACAGTAGGATGGAAAATGAAGGAGAGGTAAGAGGCATGAAGAAGGCAAAGGATCACAAGTGTGGGGCAGGCATCTTTAGCTGTGTGGTCAGTGTTATTCAGTCATGAGAGCTCAGGCTTTCTAACAGATGGTGTCTTACACGACATGGGCACTGTTTTTTTGTTCCTGTTTTACAAGTGAGGAAACTTTTGTATGTTGAACTTGTAAATACAGACTGGGCACGGTGACTCATGCCTGTAATCCCATTACTTTGGGAGGCCGAGGTGAGAATATCACTTGGGTCAAGAGTTCGAGACCAGTCTGACCAATATAGTAAAACCCTGTCTCTATAAAAATGTAAAAATTAGTTGGGCATGATGGCAGGCACTGTAATCCCAGCTAGGGGAGGCTGAGGCAGGAGAATCGCTTGAACCTGGGAGGTGGAGGTTGCAGTGAGCCAAGATCGCACCACTGCACTCCAGCCTGGATGACAGCGCAAGACCCCATCTCAAAAAAGAAGAAAAACTTGTCAATACAGAATATCGTCTCTCCAGGTGGGGGTGGGAGGTGTCAGCTTAAGCATACCTGCAGTAGGAAGATATCGTAAGAAAAACCACCCTAAGAGAATCTTGTATGTACAGCATGTGGCAGGCAAGTTGGTGGTGAATGGAGAAGGGTGTGCGTTCTCAGGCCCCTCTCTCATTGGCTTATTGTCCCTCCTGTCCAGGAAAAGAAAGAAATACATTTGGTTGAGGGGACTTATCTCTAACAGCAGCCTCTTGTTGATCTTCCCAGACAAACCCCCCACACCACCGCCCCCCTGGGCTGGACCTCCCTCTACAGCTAGGAGCCAATGGCAGATGACAAAACCAAACCCAGTGAGCTGGACCAAGCGAAATATGATGCTGATGACAACGTGAAGATCATCCACCTGGGAGACAGCACAGTGGGCAAATCCGAGTATGTTGGGAGATTAGGGAAGAAATACCAGGCCCAGAGAGGGTCTGGGTCATTAAAAAAGTCCTCCACTAGCCTTGCCAACATGGCAAAACAGCATCTACTAAAAATACAAAAATAAGCCAGGCACGGTGGTGCACACCTATAATCCCAGATACTTGGGAGTCTGAGGCAGGAGAATCACTTGACCCTGGGAGGCGGAGGTTGCAGTGAGCCAAGATTGCACCACTGCATTCCAGCCTACGCAACAGAGTGAGACTCTGCCTCAAGGTGATAACGTTTGGGACAATGGCTCATGCCTGTAATCACAGCACTTTGGCAGGCTGAGGCAGGCGGATCACCTGAGGTTGGGAGTTCGAAACCAGCCTGATCAACTTAGAGAAACCCCATCTCTACTAATAATACAAAAATTAGCTGGTGTAGTGGCACATGCCTGTAATCCCAGCTACTCAGGAGGGTGACGCACAAGAATTGCTTGAACCTGGGAGGCAGAGGTTGTGGTGAGTCGAGATTGTGCCATTGCACTCCAGCCTGAGCAACAAGAGTGAAACTCTGTCTCAAAAAAAAGGAAAAAAGGTTTGGGACAATGGGGAGATGGATACGCCATGTGACCACGTTGCCTGTTCTACTTACACTCATGGAGCGATTTCTCATGGATGGATTGTCTCCTTCAAGGTTCGAAATACCCTTGTTCCTGCGGGTCTTCTCATGGTCGTGTATCTGTGCCCCACTGCCCACCCCTCTGTATTAGCAGCCCAGAAAGGAGGATTGGGTAAGTGAATGCACAGGTTTTGTTCCACACTGGTTTTTTGCTGATTGACCCACATGGCGTTGCAAATCAGTGCTGTATATTTTGGAGCTTACTCATATTTAGATTTGTCTTATATTAAGAGGGCACTAGAATGGCTAACAGCACATAGTCTGGATCAAATCCCACAACCTCTTCCTCCTTAGTAGCTCCTGACACTGGGCAAGTCATCTAAGCTCTAACCTCAAAGCATGGCTGAGCAGGTGTCATCTCATCCAGCAGAAGCAATAGAAGAGGAGATCCAGAAGGAGCTGCTCTGTTCCACTCATTGTCACCTGCTCCTCTGCACACCTTCTTTCATGCTCTTCCCTCAGCCTCTCCCCAGCTCGCACCCCTTTACTTGAAACTCCGCTCATTTTTCAGACCCTGTTTAAATGCCACCACCTCCATGTAGCTTCCTCTGATGTCTGTCATTAGAAGTGCTCTTTCCTGTGTGGAAAGAGCTGATCACTTTCACAACGTGGATTCTGTCTGTGATGTGCATGTGCAAAACGCTGGGAGTGCCACGGTGGACAGACATGAGGGCTGCCCCCAGGAACTGGTGAAAACAGGAGGATTTCACAGACTTAAGGCGCGAAAAGTCACTAGGTTCTTTAGAAGGCTGGAATTCATCGGTTGGAAGAGGCCATGTTCTTCCAGAACCTGGATTCTACTGCTGGAAAAATAAGTTGGTTGAGAAAAAATGAGTTGGAGAAAGTTGTTATTGACGTGAAACAGAATTGCTTTCACTGATCTGCTTATTACTATCACCCTCACCCGCACCCCCACCCCAAGCAAAACCCCTCAAACCCTACACCTAACCCCTAACCCTTAATCCTAACCCTAATCCTAACCCTAACCCTAACCCTAACCTTAACCCCTAACCCTTAATCCTAACCCTAACCCCTAATCCTAAATCCTAACCCTAACCCTAAATCCTAACCCTAACCCTACACCTAACCTCTAACCTTTAACTCTAACCTTAACCTAACCCCTAACCCTTAGCCCTAACTCTAAACCCCAACCCTATGCGTAAGGCCTAACCCTAACTCTAACCCCTAATCCAAACCCTAACCCCAACCCCACCCCAAACCCTATCCCTAACCCCTAACCCCAAACCCAAAACACTAAACCCTAACTCTAAACCCCAATCCTAAACCCTAACCCTAAACCCCAATCCCAACCCCTAACCCCTAACCCGAAACTCTAACACCAACCCTAACCCTTAACCACCAACCCTAATGCTAAACCGAACACTTAACCCTAACTGTAACACTTAACCTCTAACCCCAACCTTATCCGTAACCGTTAACTCTGACCCTCTAACTGTAACCCTAACCCTAACCCTGTTTCCATCCCACAGGCTCTGTCCAGGATGGGATTTTATCTGATTGTTTGAAGTAGGTGGAAATCTCTGATGCTACAGGGGTCCTCCGGGGAACAAGGACCTTGGTCTCCACGGAGACTGTGCGTGTGTGTGGCCCAGGAGCCTGGGGATGCCTTCAGCCACCAGGTGGCAGCAGGGCCCCTTCTGATTTGGGCCATGTGGCTCAGTGGGAGGGCTGGACTGGCACACTCCTCCTAAGGCTGCTCTTGTGGTGGTTTTGTTTGGTGGCCCCAGGTGTCCCAACCTCCTGTGTCCACTGTAGTATGTCCTGGGACCTCTACCTCAGGGCCCTCAACCTTTGCTGGCCTGGCTGCTGACAGAAGACGTACCCCCAGCCTGTCCCTTCCTCACCCTGCTGAGACCTGGCCCCGGCACAGCCAGCTCCATGTCCCTCGGGCCCTCTCAGGCCACCTCCTCTCCTCCAGGCTGCTTCTCACCCCGTAGATCCTCAGCCCCCAGCTCGTCCTACGGCTGTGTCCACTCTCGCATCTGCAGCCCCTTCCCCCAGTTGGCCACCCCCACTCTGAGTAGTGAGGAGGCCCCTGCCTGACTGGAGACCCCCAGGTGCAGACCCAGATCACACAGCACACTGAGAAGAGGAGGGATTCCCGCCTCAAAAGAAAGGCCTGAGACCAAGCCCAGATCCCACCACCCTCGGTCTCAAGGGCAGGCACGACTAGAGGCCCTTGGTGGCCAGGCCCTGCTGCCCTCTTCACCGACCAGCTGGCACGGCCTCCCTCGCCAGCGTTCCCTCCTCCCACACCTGTTCTCTCTCACACACACCCTAAAGCCACTTGCCAACCACCTGTCACGCAGCCACCCCAAGCCTGTTGCTACTTGGCACCCACTGGGGGCCAGGGATGTGACAACCCTCACCTGAGCTGGCTGCCAGGTCCTAATGGGCAGGTCCGGCCCACCCTCTAGGAGAGGTGCTGCCCGCTGAGGCATAAAATCCCGGGATTCTGGCTGCAGGCAGCTCCTGAGGCTGCCGGCATGAAGGGGAGCAGTGCTCTCCTACTGGTGGCCTTCACCCTGTTCTGCATCTTTGGTGAGTCTGTGCCACTGGGGCTTCCAGAACATTTGGGAGCGGGCGAGAGGGGGTTGGGGGTGCCTGAGGAGGTAAAATCCTGGCATCAGGTCCGTGCAGTGAACACTCCACCTGCATCTGTCACAGAGGTGGGCAAGGACCCTACAGAACCAGTCCCCACCCAATTACACCCCAACTAAAGACAGCCCAGCTGACCCAACCCCAGCCCAGTCCATCCTGACCTGACCCTTCAAGGGATCAGATTTCTCCCACACCAGAGGCTTAACTTTCCTTCCCTGGTGATCCCAGGGAATGCTGAGTGGAAACTGGAGCAGCTAAGATTAAGGGACGTGGAGGTCTTTGGGCAAGGCGGAGTTGAGGGTGCTGTGGAGGAAGACATGGGGAGGAGAGGTGGGCATTGACGGGGAGGGTCTGGAGACCATGGAGGCTGGAGCCCTGGGATGCGTGCAGGGCTGGGTTACACCAGTCGTGCTGTCCTGTCCTGGCACCATCTCACCTGTGATGCAGGGCTGGCCACAGGGGAGGACAACGCTGAGTTTTTCATGGACTTCCTACAAACACTGCTGGTGGGGACCCCAGAGGAGCTCTATGAGGGGGCCCTGGGCAAGTACAGTGTCAACGAGGATGCCAAGGCAGCCCTGACCGAGCTCAAGTCCTGCATAGATGGCCTGCAGCCAATGCACAAAGCACAGCTGGTCCAACTGCTGGTATGGGGGCTGTGGGGACGCCCCATTCCCTAAAGACCTGAAGCCTTACCAAGACCACCCAACACAACAGCCACACACATCCCACCACCCGCAGACATTGTACCCACATCAGCCAGCCGAGGTGGACACCCCAGACCTCCTGTCCACAGAGCAGCCCCCAGACGCCCAAGACCTGCTCCTCCCCAGTCAGCAGGCACACGTGCACACACAGAGATGCAAACACAGGTGGAGGCATGGAACGCACACCGCAGGCACACGTGTAGACATTCACACATGCACACTCACACCCACACGTGTGCACGCCATCATGCACGCACACACAGCCCTGGCTACTGGAAGGGGATGGCCAGCAATATGCCAGACCCCCCACCGAGGGTCTTGCTTGCCTGATGGAGCTGTGGCTCTCCAGTTATTGATCACAGCTCTCAGCCCACGTTTTTGCCTTCCAGGTGCAAGTGCTGGGCAATGCGGACAGTGCCTAAGTGGACCTCAGACGAGGCTCAGCCATAGGACCTACCACACAAGCAGCCATGGACATGCCGCCCACCACCACCTCCCCACATGGAAATTCACCTCAAACCATTAATCAATAAAGCCTTTTGCAGCGCAGGCTCTGATTCCTGCCTCTCCCCCGACAGAGCCACATACATAGACCCACATACATCAGGTCCCGCTCAAGGAGCACACATGTGAAGGTCACCCACACAGAGGGACACACAGACACAGGGTCCACACAGGAGCAGGCACACCACAGGCGAGACCCAAAATGCAAATCCAGGCACACACCACGCAGGTAGGTGGACAGCACAGAGCCAGACAGCGCCACGTGGACACAGGGCGTCCGGAGGGAGACGGACGGCAGACGCAGCGGTATGAGGTGGGAGGGGCAGGGAGCCCCAGACACAGGAAGTGTCCAGAACTGGGTGGGCACAGACCCCCTGTTGCCCACGGGCTAGGTCAGGGCAGGGGTGCTCAGCATCTGAACGCTGGTGCTGTAAGGCAGTAGCCGTGCACAGCAAACGCACAGTCACACAGGCGGCCCAAGTCCAGCGGGTTTCAGAACAATCTCTCTTCCCAAAGTCGCCCAAGAAAAGAGTCTGCCTGGAAGACACTGGGAGGAGCTTGGGCCCCAAAAAGGACCCCTGACAAGGCCGAGAAAAAGGTGCACCTGTGTCCAAGGGGGTTGGGAGCCACAGGTGAGCAGCCTCTGAGGTCAGTCAGGGCAGCAGCAGCGCCCACGCCGATTCACGCCCACCACAACCGCACGGACCCTGACCCCAGATCCCAGGCTCTGCCATAACCAGAACCGTCCAGCATCTCAGTGGCCTAAATCTCTGGTCTCTTCCGGGGGCACAGCTGAGTGGAACTGCCACGTCCTCAGCCATCCTCAGTGCTGAGCCCTGAAACTTCACTGCCCCAGCCCTCCTCTCTACACCTCTGTCCTGTCTGAGCCTGGCAGGGAGGCCATGGCTGAGGGAGCCCTAGGGAGAGTGCCCTGCAGGACTTGGTTATGGGGGAGCTGGTGAGGGGACTGGTAAGGTGGTGCCTGGTGAGGGAACCTGAGGAGGGGGGTCTGGTGAGGGGACCTGGTAAGAAGCACCTGATGAGAAGACCTGGTGGGGAGGGCCTGGTGAGGGGAACTGGTGAGAGGACCCAATGAGGGGGGACCTGGTGAGGGAACCTGGTGAGGCAGGTCTGGTGGGGGAACCTGGTGAGGGAGGGTCTGGTAAGGGGGCCTGGTGAGGTGGGACCTGGTGAGGCAGGTCTGGTGGGGGGACCTGGTGAGGGGGACCCTGCTAAAGAGGCCTGGTGAGGAGACATGGTGAAGGAGGACCTGGCGAGGGCAACCTGATGAGGGAAAACTTGGTGAGAGGACATGGTAAGGGGACATTTAGAGGTGACCTGTTGGGGGGACCTGGTGAGGGGACATGGTAAGGGGTACCTGGTGGTGAGCTCTGGTGAGGGGATCTAAGGCTGAGGCCATTGTCTTGGTCACACTGACAGTAATCTAGAACCTGTCATCCCACAGAGCACAAAGCCACATTCTAGAGTTTAGAGTGGGGCCCTCTCCCCAGTTCTGTAAGCCCCTGAGGAGAGAGGGAGGCCTTCCTCTCCATGCTCCTTTTGCAGGAACTCCCTGGCACCAAGACCAGAGGGGACAGGACAGTCTCCGAGGATGGGACCGTAGGCTGCCTGGAGTGCTGTCCCTGCACCGAAGAAGTTACAGCCCCCTCCTAGGCAGACCCCTCCCTGCCCCTCAGCACAGCCTCAACCAAGACATTCCCCACCTTTGATCACCACTCCAAGTAGGAGAAACTGGCCCAGGGTCTCCTTACAGCCGAGAAGCGTTGTGAGTAGAGGGCCACCATGGACAGCAGCTCTGGGTTAGGGTTAAGCTGGTGAGGCGTTCACAGTCCTATGCGGAAAGCTCCCACCCTCGCAAACTCCTGGCTCCCAGCTGGAGCCCCCCCACTGAGAACCCTGTACAGGTTCAGCAGCTCTGCTCTTCAGTGTCAGCAGGAGCAGGGACGGGGACATTAGGGCCGGGCCTCCCAGCACCTGGAAACCCTCTCATTTGTAGACAGAGCTGGCCATGACGGAGGAGGTATGGATGGGCACCTGGAGGCCCCATCGCCCCCGGGGACCCGTCATGGCCCTCTACAGCAGCCCTGGACCCAAGTACCTGATTCCACCAACAACAGGTAAGAGCCTGAGAGCCTGTGGGGAGGGTCAGGAAGCAGGAGGGTAGGTGGCCTGGGGAAGGCCTGAGGGTGGGGGTCCAGGGAGGGCCTGGGGCTCAATCCCCAACTCCCAGCGGGGAGAAGGGCAGGTTAGGCTCCCGGCTGCTCAGGGCCCACTGCATCCACAGGCTTCATGAAGCACACACCCACCAAGCTACGCGCACCAGCCTACAGCTTCCGTGGGGCCCCCATGCTCCTGGCAGAGAACTGCTCCCCAGGGCCCCGCTACAATGTAAACCCCAGGATACTGAGGACTGGCAAGGACCTTGGCCCTGCCTACTCCATCCTGGGGCGCTACCACACCAAGACCATGCTGACCCCTGGCCCAGGTTAGTGATCCCCGCTCAGGCTCCTGCCCTATGCAGCCTCCAGCCTGCCCCTCCCTGCTGGGTCCCCCTGACCTCATGTCTGCAAGGGTGTGAGCTCAGCCATCCCGCCCCTCCTGTCCTATCTTTCTCTCTTGAGGGGTTGCCATCACACCTGGGCAGAGAAGAGTCTGACCCTAGAGCCCAGCTCCAACCTGGACCTTTCTCTGGCAAGCCCATGTCAGACCCCACTCTCCCTGCTCAAAAATGGCCTTTGTCTCCCCAGCCCCGAGGTCAGCATTTCCATCCTGGACACCCCCTGACCAGACCTGGTCACCACCTGTGTTGGAGCCCAGAGGCCCCATGCCTAGAATGTTGGGGAGCCCTCCTTGAGCCCCCAAACAGGGCTGCACACCCACCTTCTTGTTGTCCCAGCACCCCCTTGGCTCCTTGTCCAGGTGACTACTTTCCAGAGAAATCCACCAAGTTCGTGTTCGACTCAGCGCCCAGCCACTCCATCTCTGCTCGGACAAAGACGTTCCGAGTGGACAGCACCCCAGGTCTGCAGCAGCCCCAACGATCCTCAGCCAAACGGATCTGGGGATCCTGGGTGGGGTGGGTGAGACGGGGCAGCCTGACGGCTGATCTCCAGGGTTGGGGGAAAGCCCCAGGGAAGTGGCAGTGGGCCCTGTTCCGGCCTGAGGAACACGTCCACCCTGCAGGCCCCGCTGCGTACATGCTGCCCGTGGTGATGGGGCCCCACACTGTCGGGAAGGTCTCCCAGCCCTCCTTTTCCATCAAGGGCCGCAGCAAGCTGGGCGGCTTCAGCGATGACCTACACAAGGCAAGGGTCCCCCCGGCTGAGAACAGAGAGCTGTCCCCCAACCTCCCCCACAACCCAGGACCCGCCAGCTCAGCCCTGCCTTGCCGAAGCCCCTCAGCCCCCTATCCTCTGGGGTAGCCCCCTATCCCCCACGTGCTGGGGTGACACTGCAGTGGTGAGGAGGTCCAGGCCCCAGCAGAGGACGGCGCTGTCTGGAGGGTAACAGGCAGTCTTAGCTACGGTTGCATGGAAAGAGGGGGAAGAAAAAATAAACCATGACCTATTTTGGGGAGGAGGGTCCTGGTTTCAGAAACAGCCAGTGCAAAGGCCTTGGGTGGGCATGTGACCGAGAGCTTGAGGGGCCTGAGATGGGGAAACCATGTCACGGCAACCAACAGCCCTTGTCGGTGTCGATGTCACCAGCCCCAGGCCCCCAAGTCCAATGGGACAGCGACCCGCTGGAAGCAGGCCTCTCACACATGCTCAGGGATGTTCCCAGGACTGGTACACTCTGGGGATGTCATAGCCAGCGTGAGGCTGAAATCGAGGAAGTAGCCCCCGCCTGAGAAGGTGCCCCACAAGCAGGGTGACAGAACACAGAGGGGGACCCTGATGCACAGGCACAGACTTGTAGCTGGCTCTGTTGACTCAGGCCTGAAATCCTCTGTCCAAGTTTGCTCTCTGCTGTCTAGGGCCACGCGCCCAGGGTAGGCTGAGCTTGTCTGAGCCTCCTTTGCCTCTCAGACCCCAGGCCCCGCAGCCTACCGCCAGACTGACATGCAGGTGACCAAGTTCAAGGCTCCACAGTACACCATGGCTGCCCGTGTAGAGCCTCCAGGGGACAAGACCCTCAAGCCAGGACCAGGCGCCCACAGCCCTGAGAAGGTCCAGGAAGAGCACAGCCCAGAGGGGTCAGGGTGGGGTGGGGGCCCTGGCCCAAAGGGATGTGCAGGAAAGAGCAGGGGAGGAGGGTTGGGACACAGAGGAGGGGAAGCAGGGTCAGGCTGTGAAGGACACAGCCAAGAGGGGGTGGAGAGTTAGGGTGGGGACGGGAAGCACCTCCACCCTCGGGACCCTGCACCAGCCCCACAGGTAACCCTTCAGCGACAGGGAAGCAGAGGCCCTGCCCTTTTCCTTAGACACTTGACAGCTACCACTGCTGAGTGCTCTGTGTTCAAACCTGGGAGTGTAGCTTCTGGCCGCCTTGGCCCCAGGCTCAGGAAGGACAGTGGCCCAGCCCCAGCCAGGGTAGAGAACTGCATATGGGGGTGCTGGCTCCTCTCATAGCCCCTCCTCTCCCAGGTGACCCTGACCAAGCCCTGCGCCCCTATTGTCACCTTCGGCATCAAACACTCTGATTACATGACACCCCTGGTGGTTGACGTGGAATAGCCCAGCCCTGCTGTGCCCCATCACGCCCAACATCTGCACAAGATTCACTGGGCCACGGAGCTCCAGGCCGTCTTCACCCACTGGGCTGGGCCAGCTGGGCCCGCAGGGCAGAGCACACTTGTTTGGATGATTGCAACCAGTTATTTTTTTCTACGCTGTTTTACCATTTGCTGTCTTGTTTTCTGCTGTGCCCAAAGTATTTAATAAATCAGCTTGCATTAATGAAGGGTGTGTCTTGGTGGAAGGATCAAGCTTTTACAGAAAGGAGCCCCCATGGGCTGTCAGCACTTGCCCACATAGGGTCCCATCCTGGCTTCTAGGGCCCAGGGTCAGCTTGGTGAGATGGGAGGGCCTGAGTGCCTCAGACACCCTGCTCCACACCTGTCCCTCCCAATACTGCCTGCCTTGAACCCCCAAGACAGCCACAGCTGTGTTGGTCACCTCTGAACAATGCTGTGTCCCTCCCCTTGAATCTGGACTGCAGCCTGTGACTGTCCTGAATAATGAGGTATGGCAGAACTGATGCCACCTGGCTTCTGATGCTAGGCATGCAATGTACCAAGGAAACAGCTTCTGCCTGGATAGCAGTGCCCACCCCCGCCCCCACCCCTTACCACTGTGTCCATGTTTGCTCCAGCACCAGCCATCATGTGAGGAAGCTTAAGCATGGTGAGACTGAACTCATCATCCCAGGCAGTCGGCCCAGCCAGGCCCTCCACCCACCAGCACTGACCTCTGGACGTGTGACTGAGCCTTCAGATGGAGGCAGCCCCAGGACCACATCGTACAGTGAGGCCTCCACATTGCAGAGCAAAAGCGGCCAACCCTGAAGCAGTGCCCTGTCTCAAATTCAATGAGACATGATAAACTGTTGCAATTTTAAGTGCAGTTTTAGGGTGGCCTGTTACGCATCAGTGGGTACCACGGGGAGTAGGAGGACACGGACAGGGAAGGTAGGGTACGGGCTGGGCCTGAAGAGGGGGATTTCCAGAGGCTGCCCAGGAGTCCAAGGCCAGGCCTCAAGAAGTGGTGCCTGGATCTCAACTCAGCCTTTTGGGGAGGTCACTTTAGGATGGGCAGCCTTGACAGACACAGCTGTGGCACCATCCCCTGCACCTGTACAAAGCACAATACAGCTGCTGACTCTTACTTGTGATCATGCCAGCTTGCGTATTCATGTTTACTCACGTTTTGGGGGCTTTTTTTTTTTTTTTTTGAGAGGGAGTCTCTCTGTCGCCCAGGCTGCAGTGCAGTGGTGCCATCTCGGCTCACTGCAACCTCCACCTCCCACATTCAAGTGATTCTCCTGCCGAAGCCTCCCGAGTAGCTGGAATTACAGCCAAGCACCACCACACCAGCTACTTTCTATATTTTTAGTACAGACGGGGTTTCACCATTTTGGTCAGGCTGGTCTCGAACTCCTGTCCTCAGGTGATCCACCCTCCTCAGCCTCCCAAAGTGTTGGGATTACAGGGGTGAGCCACCTCGCCTGGCCTACTCACTTATTTCCTGTGTGATTGTGCCCTCAGGATCCCCATCTGCATTTCAGGAACGTGGGCAGGGAAGGGTAACACAGCAGGAAGTGGGTGAGTCTGTGGCTGCTCTGCCCAAAGCCAGCCCTGACGGGAAGGGAGAGGGTTTATGGCACCACTGCCCATGGCCAGCCTGTGGACCAGGGTGAGCTCCACACACAAAGTTCCCTCAAATCCCAAGGAAATGACAACAGACACCATACGATCAGTTCTTCATGAAATCATATTTACGACAAATTTTTATTGTTTACGTGTTTTGTCTTGAAATTATGGGATAGAACCTAGCACTCCCTCCTCCCTTGGCAGAGTGGGTAACCCTGGCTCTCATCATGGGTCCCCAAGATCCTTTTTGGTTCTACTGGTGTCAGGGACCACAGTCAGCAAACCCCGCTCTTTTACAGGGTCAGGTGCCTGGGGCTGAGGGTTAGCATCAGGCCCCTCAGGAAACTCTGGTCTGGCACAGCAGCAGCAGGGCTGCCACTCTCCCTTTGCGGGATCTTAACACAGCAAGAGATGCAGAAAAGGAAACCAGAAAGGAAGTCCAGCCCAGACCCCGAAGTACCTGGGAGGGCTGCAAAGGGCTGTGGAGATGGAGACTGGGAGGGAACACAATGTGCGTCTGAGACAACAAAGCACCTCCCTAACGAAGGCCACCCGAGTTGCAGCCTAACTTCCTAGTTTGCCTCAGCAAGATGAGCGGGCACCACTACAGAAAGAGCACCAGGGTCCGGTTCGGTTCCCACAGCTCAGTCACATTCCCCAGAAGTGGAGGTTGGCCCCAAATGGCCCAGGACAATATAGGGGATGAAGAATTGGGAGACAATGCAGGCAGCTGCTACCAGCCTGGTGACCAGCGGACAAGCCCCTGATGAGCAGAGGACTAAGGCAAGCCATGGCAGGCAAGGACACTGGTGCCTGAGGAATGACAGGGGTCTGCAGAGGGACACCTGAGGAGGGGGCAGCAAGCTGGGAGCAACACCAGCCCAGCTCGGTTTCAGGGCAACAGCAAAGCCCCAGAGAATGGAGGCAGTCGAGTAGACCTTGCTGGGTGAGAAGCGGGCTTGCACTGCATGAGGGAGTAAGAAGGCGGACTCCACTCCTCCGGGAGGCCGACAGTCTCAGCCACGTCACAAGGAAGGGGGCTACGGTGAGCGTGCGTGGAGAAAGGGGCTTGCTGTGTGTAGGGAGAAGGAAGGGAGGGGAAGGGTGAGCAAAGCGGGGCTGCAGGTGCCAGGCTGTGGCTTGTCTCTGGTCAGCCTGGAGCTCCGAGGCAGTTCAGGATGGACAGGACACATGGTGTGGCCACGGGTGGGGGGACAGTGAGCCCATAGTCCCCAGGGAGTGACTGGGAGGCACAAGATTGAAACAGGACAAAGAAAGGCACAGAAGCACATGACTCGCACTTTAAAGGTGTTTTTACGCCAAGACAAGGGGGCTGGGACCTCATCTTGAGGTGGGAAGAAGTGATTTCCCTGCCAGTCTAGTGGTTTGAACATGAGCCCGGCCCAGGGAGAGGTGGGTAGAGCGGGCATCCTGCAGAGGCTGGAGACAAGGAGGATGGCACGGAGCACCATCAGTCAAGGGAGCCTGGCAGGGCTTGGGAGAGGGGCAAAAGTTACCAGCAAGCTAGGCAGCAACTAGAGTCCTCATAGGAACCTTGCTGTGTAGACCCACAGACGCTCCTTGACCCTGCATGGTTTGCCTGACTCTGAAATGCCAAACAGGCCCACTTCTGGGTCTGTTCTCCTGAAAACACATCTTTGGTGCTGGGTTGATCCTGAATCCTGAAAATGCAAGTTTCTGCTCCTAGATACATAGTCACATGACCCAGAAGGATCCAGGCCCAGTGGCTAGGCCAAGGCTGCAGTTCACTCCGTCCACACCCCCGTTCTCCCCAGGAGTCTCACTTCATCCGCAGGACTGGAGAGCAGGCAGAGAGAACTCACAGCAGGGCAGCCCACACTGGTCTGCCCGTGCTTAGCAACCGTGGCCAGAAGTAACTGTCATCTCCAGGTTGAGAGGCCTCAGTCGGAGATGGCACTCACTCAGGGTTCACAGTCCCTTCCTGTGTCAGCTCCAGGCACCTGGGATCACGGACATGGCCTCACCCCAACAAGGACACAACCGTGGAGCCTCAAGATGTCACAGTCCCAAGAGCTGGGAGAAAGGCGGCAGGCCTCAAGTGGCTCTGTCTGGGATTCAACAGCTGCTGTGCTCGGACCTGGCTCCTCTAGACATGCTGTGGCCTCAACTCTGCTGGTGTCTCTAGCACCTGGGGGAGGGGGGAAGAGCTGGCCCTTGGTTTCCCCAAAAGAAAGAGTCCCTTCCACACATGGGATCAGCCAACATGAGCTCATCAGGTCACAGACTGCCACAGCCTCCTGCCCCACAGGAATAAGATTCCTAACCCACGACTGTAATTTCAAAGGAGTATTTTGCACTAAGTTCTCTGGAGCCCAAGACGCCAGGCAGGAAGACCTGGGCTGCCCTTGGCACCCACAGACACCAGCTCCCACTGGTTCACGTCCTTGCCCTCGACAAGAAGTAGGAGAGGATGAAGAAGGCCACAATTAGACCCATGGCCATGCCACACAGAAGCTTCCGGTTGTCTCGCCCAGACCTTGCCATTGTGGAAAAGCGTTTCACACTCCCTGTAAGCAGGCCGGTCATGCTTGTGAAATCCGAGTCCTAAGGGAGGAATCCCAGCAAGATCACACAGAAGTGGTGATTTGACCGCCCACCCGCACCAGTGCTGAAGGAGACACTGTAGGCTCTGCAGCAAGTAGTGCTGGGGCAGGCCCTTACCATGCCATCCAGGTACCGGTTCTGATCCTCTGCGTCCCTATCGATGTCCAGGGCAAGCTGTTCAGCACAGAGAGGGCAGGGTTGGGCCAGGGCAGACACATAATGCAGCACTCACCCTCCCCAGACCAGACAAGCCCTGCCACCAACTCTGCCAGAGATCCAGGTGGGGCGTCATGCGGGTGAGCACAGCCACAAATTGGACGAGGAGGATGGAAAACTGCCTGAAACTCCTCTGGGCTGTCTGCCATTCCTCTGATCCCCACTCCCCAAGGGCACCCGGTAGAGGTAAGAGGACAGGAAACCACCACTGACCGATTTGAGCCTGGTGACTTTGGAGGCCAGGCTGTCGGTCATTCGCTTGTTCTCCCGGTCTAGTATCTCTTCCACAGCACCAGGACTCTGAGCTGAGAAGAGAGAGAGACTGAAGGGTTGCATCCACCTGTGAGCACGGCCCCTGACTCCTCTTGCTCCAACCACATCTGGGTGAGTTGGAAATCCAGGGGGACTGGGCCCTGTGTCTGCTGGGCAGGTGGCAGACACAGGGCCCTAACCCAGGTTCCAGCAGGTAGATCTTGCACATGTAAGGCAGGCTGCATAAAGGACGATGTGTGTAAGCACCTGTCATGTGAACACATGCCCTGTGTACACATCCAGGTGGGGATGGGCAAGCACCCACAACAGGCTCGGTGCAGTCAGCAGTTTCCGATACAGCGTAGCAGAAACTGGACCCAGCCCTGGGATGCTGGTAAGATGTGACACTTGCATCCATGGAGGTCGCCATCTGTGTAAGAGTGTAGGAAAGACGTGGGAAAAGTACCCAGCAGAAAGGCTCCTGCAGGGACGACTTTAGAGCTGGCTCCTGAAGAGGTGGCAAGGAACCAGGACAGAACATTGAGAAGGCTCTTTACCGCACACAAAGTGGCTGGGCCAAGCTCCCAATTCCCCAAGATGGGAGCTGAGTTCGACCAAGAGAGGGATCCTTGGCCTGCATCCCACAGAGAGCTTCCCCGCAACACCCAGAGCACAGTACTTGCAGAGGCCTGGCCTGTGACAGGCTGGGCCAAGTGACAAGGAATTTCTGTCACATCAGGTGGGTGAGAACCGCCTCCTGCCTAGCTTCAATGTAAGGAATGGGTGCCAGCGCCCTTTCAACTCCTCATGTTCATCAATTCCTTTAATCATCATAGCAACTCAAAGAGGCAAACATCAATATCCAACTATGCAGACAAGAACACGGGCTCCAGGAGGAGGACCGAGGCCATCGAGGCCCAAGTCAGCAGGCGCCTGCTTGGACACCAACAGTGCCCGGCCTGCACTCCTAGGGCCTGGCCCCGGGACCCGCCGAATGCCGAGGCTCCCGCACCCGGAACCCATGCAGAACGATCTCACAGGGAGTGGCGGGGAGTTGGGGGACCCCGCAGCTGCCCGACCCCTCGCTGGAGCGGCTGGACCGCCCCGCCCGCCTTCCGTCCTAGCAGCAGGGCCGGCAGACACCCCACTCCCCTCGGACCCGGAAGGAACCGATTCGCCCCCGTGACAGGGTCCTCTCCGCCGACGACAGTTTAGACGGGCCAGGGGCAGGCGCACGCGGCTCTGCAGGCAACAGCGTCAGCTCCGGCCCGGCCCGGCCCAGCCCCAACGACTCCGCTCTCTCGCGCTCACCCCGAGCCCAGTCCGCCATCGTGCCTTCCCCGGCTCCTAACGCCGACACCTACGCCGCCGTGGCCGCCTCGGACGTGGCGCACTCAAGGGGCAGGACTTCCGGCCCCGCCTCCGCGCCGACCACGCCCCCGGGAGCCCCCGCCCCTTCCGCCTTGAACTCGCTGACTTCCGGCTGAGGGCCAAGAGTCGGGAACTGCCGGTCGCGGGAGCGCGGGCACGGATGTGGCTTTTATTTTCCGCACCGTCCCAGGCTGGCGTGCAGTGACGCGATCACGGCTCACTGCATCCTCCGCCTGCCGGGCTCAGAGGTCGAGCCCTCCCGCCTCGGCCTCCCCCGGTGCTGGGATTACTGGTGTGCGCCACGGCGGATGTGACGTTTGTTGTTCCTGTGAACGTGGGCGGGGCCGTTTGCTCAGTGCCGAGACTACGGCGTGGGGTGGACGCCTCCGTGGGTTCGGTCCTGCGGCCGGGGAAGGAGACGTGCCTGGGGCAGGCCCCCCGAGCAGGAGCCCCGTTCCCGGCCACTTCCTGTCGTCCGGTGTCGGCAAAAGCAGCGTTTCCTCGCTGCCCGTGTTGAAGCACAGCCTCGTGTCCTTTGGTGCTTCCTTGTGTGCCTTCCCCCCTGGAACAAAAGCTCCGCGAAAGCATGGACCTAGGAGCGCCGTTCGCCCGCGTCCCCCAGCAAACGCCTAACGAACCCGACGGCCCAGGACTGAACAGTCCCCCGCCTCGGCTCCCCGTCCACACCCGCCCGCTCCGTGGCGCTGCAGGGGCGGCAGTGTGCGCGGCAGGGCGAGGTGGGGGCTGAGATCCTTTCCCGTCGGAAATTCCGGCCCAAGGGGGGGTCAGTTCGGTCGAGGGCGACTCGGGTCCTGACGCCTTCGGGCCGCCGCGGCGGCTTCGGGCGCCGCCGCCGCCACGCCCCGTCCCGGCCTCCCCTGCGCGCCGGCGCGGAGCTCCCTGGGCCGAGGCGGGGCCAGCGATCTGCGGCCCGGAACGGCTGAGGCGGGTCCTGGGGGCGCCATGGAGCCCCGGGCGGTCGCAGCAGCCGTGGAGACGGGGAAGGAGGATGTGATCATGGAAGCTCTGCGGTCGTACAACCTGGAGGTGAGCCGCCGCCCGAGGCCGGGGGGGTGAGAGAGCGAGGCCGGGGTG